GTAATTTGAGTAAAATATGAAAGAAAATAATCTATATATACATATGTATGAAATATTGTGGTATAATGAGCACTCGGCTCATCAAAATATAGTACACCAAAGCATATGACATAACATACAGTGTATAATACATTAATATACTTTAGGCAATGGATTTAAATGATGTGAAAAATAGGCAAATATAAGATAATATTTACATTGGAGTCAAAAGTGTTATTATATTATCGATAACTTTTGGGAAACAGATGCGATAAACAGATAGACTGTTGGTTTGTAGTTAGACTGCGAGGCATTACCACTTCAATAGTCTCTACAATAAGAATGTTCTCTAGCTCTTTATAACTTGACGTGGTTTTTGCGTTACCTTAATATTTTGTATACTGTTATTCATTATAATGATTACATTTATTATAGTCATAATGTGCCCTTTTGTTATTTTATGTCTAATTTAGTTTTTATTAAAACTCCACTCCTTATATTCAGGTACACTATATGTGAGTAACACTTGAATAGAGTATAAATTACACAAAAATAGGCTCTCCTGGGCTCTCATTAAACTCTCCCAGAGAACATACTTACTCTACAATGTATTGTATAACATGGTATACAACGACTTGTTTTTAGCCAAAGAATAGCATAAGTCATATAAGGAGTAAAATTATAATAATTTAACAAATAATATGATAATTATAAGCGAATAAAGAGGAAAGGGATGAACGAAAGACAAATAAAACACATTTCAATACATCGCTATACAAATAATTTCAAACCAATGGAGTGAACGCTTAATGCAAACATAATTATGATATTGAATAACATTTGCAGATCATATATAAAACGTGATTAACTGAATGCCGATAATGTTATGTTCAGCACAACTAAACACATCCAACCCTCAGACAACTAACACAACTAAACAGACACACATTAAAATCCCCTAAAGAATGTCAATAATAAAAAATAGTTTAAAATTTTAGTTATAAAATGTTTTAACCATTTATTTATTTATTGGTTTTTTGAGATAACATTTTATTGAATTTATTTAGTTCTCAATGTTTTTGATGACTTGAATGCTGTCGAAGAGAAGCCAAAACACAAACTGGATATCAATTCCGGGAACTAATGCTAATCTTAATTGTTTATGAAATTAAAAACTTTGTAACAGTAATAAAGTTTGTGTTTCACTCGACAGGACATTGACTTTTGATGGCAAATATACCGCAATATAAATGCTATTTGCCATCAATTGTTGTGATATTTGTTTTGTAGACATTTGTCAATATTTTTGGCATTCAATTCGCACGACAAGAGTCTGGCAATTGTGGGATCAATTGAATGGCTTGTGTTTAGACAACATTCATAACAGTATAATAATTACATTTCAAAAGCAAAGTATGCATTGAATGCTGAGATAGAGATAACTGTGAAAAGTGATGGCAAAGGGAGGCAATGGTTAGTCAAGTGTATCAATGAATTTGCAATCAAATGGCAAATGTCTTAAAGCGGGCATTCAATCAGCGATGACAGGGATTAATGAATGGATCAATTGAGTGGCAATGGTTTGTCATAACGTGTAATAAGTGGTGATCTAATGAAAGGGCGTATGCCTTAAGTGTATAGCGTTTTGACATATACTTCACTACGGCTTACATCCCAGTAATGGCTGATATGTGTTAAGCTATGACACAAACACTGCAACACTCATCGACACCACTAAAGACTCATCACTTCCTATCAATAGACAACTCATTGAATCAAACATTCATTTTCTTACCTCTAATTGTGATTATAATGAGTGATGAGATGTACTGTAGATATGGATGATGTGAATGGATGTGAATGTATGTCAATGTATTCACTGCTCCCTCAAAACACACAACTGTCCGCTCATTGAGTCAACACAACTCCCAACACAACATCACATCAACAACACTAACACTACTCACACCCGACCACAGGTGGCGCTACCCTTCCCTCCCCTCCCGGCCCTCACAGACAACACAAACACACATTCATTGACTCGATTTGACTCCAATTTGCACTGAATCTGCATTTCGTGTCCAAACAGTTTAGAAACACTTTTCTCGTCTCAACACAACTCACTCCCCATTGAGTCCAATCTCTCAGGTATTTATCACTCAATCCTTTGCTCTCATCTTTGATCCATTGAATGACAATTGAATGTGTGGTTTGAAGAATGGGTTCAAAGATGGCTCAAACCAATTGGGAAATGGCTAACAGTATGGAAAATGTGGAAAGTATTGACGAGATCTACAAATATAACCGCAAACAACAACAAGACATCCTCACAGCCAAGCCGTGGGAAAAGGAGTAAGCATTGCATGCGTTACAAGCATTACATGATATAATTGATTGATCGCCGCTTTGTCTACTTTTAGTCCTCACTATTTCAAAGACATCCGCGTGAGTGCGTTGGCGCTGTTGAAGATGGTGATGCACGCCAGAAGTGGTGGCACTCTGGAAGTGATGGGTCTGTTGTTGGGCAAAGTGGACGCCAACACAATGATAGCGATGGACTCGTTTGCGCTGCCGGTTGAGGGGACAG